GCTGGGGCTTTTAGGGTTTAGGGTGTAGAGCTCCGTTAGAGGGGTCCTTCTGGTTCCGTTCAGGATTCCTTTCAGGGTTCCACAAGGGTTTCGATCGGCGGTTGAGGGCCTTGGGGTTTATGTTATGCTTTTCCACAAATTTTCATTCGTGTATATGTATCAGGTATGTGTGTGTACATGCATACATACATACATACATACATACATACATACGTACGCACGTACGCACGTACGCACATACCTACATACAGACATACAGACATACGTACATACATGCATGCATACATGCATGCATACATACATACATACCCTAAACCCTAAACCCTAAACCCTAAACCCTAGACCCTAGACCCTAAACCCTAAAGTCCAAAGCCTAAACCCGAAGCTGTTGCATCCGGCTCCAAAGTCTCCTCCTGCATCAGCATCACTGTGCAGCATGGCTTTCTTCACTGCGGTGCACCACACCGCCTTACATCTGAAGCGGCGTCGTGCCTGGTGGCGCCCACGTTCGTGGTCCCGCTCTGGCATTGACAACCTGTGCTTCATCCTGTCCTGGGTGGAAGCATGTGTCCTACTGGCTGCCGTCAAGGTCCTCGCCAGCAGCAGCTGCGTGGACTTGGGATCCACGCCGGCGTGCTGGCCATCACGTCCGAGAACGTGCAACAACGTGCAGCTGCTGCCGGTGGCAGCCGTTTGGGCAGCCCTGGTGCTGCGGAACAATGGCACGGCTTGCCACAAGCAGCCGGCCGTGCGAGCGTCTTCTGCAGCATGCGCTTCACGGAAGGTTTCAGGGGCCAAGCCCAAGCCTTCGAGACGCACTGCGTCGCAAGCTTGGGCTAGAGTGGGTGATCATCAACATCCCTGCTGGCTGGAGCATCCACAGCAAAGTCTTCCAAGAGCTTCGCCGCTCCGACCTGTTCATGGCCTTCGGGTGCAAGGGATACGGGAAGCATGATGTTGTTCCACAAGGTTAGATGCTGAAGCTGAAGCTGTCCTGTACTAGCCAGAACCCCCGGCTTCGTCGGGTATTTCCAGCCAAGGGGACAAAGAAGCGTGGGGAGTGCGGGACAACCCTCGGCCGACAAAAGCTTTGAAGGTGGAACTGAACTCAGGAGCCACGGATGATCACGCAGCTGCACGTACCGCTGCACGGACCTCGGGGGTGACATTGGCATCCGTACTCCAAGAGTTGACGTGGCAAAGACAGGATGATGACTATGTCGTGCGATCGCCTTTCGGAGAAGCTAGACTGACCAATCTTACCAATCCCCAGTGCAGCCACGGTCGAGTGCGGGGGGCCCTATTGCTCGTCGCGAGAGTTCGGCTGTGCGCAGACGTGTGTTTTTGGCTACTCGCTAGTTCGTGCTCGCCTGCGGAAAATGGACCCCGCGCCGCAGCGCTTGGCGCAGTGGCTGGGCAAAGAGGCCACGCTGGCCTAATGAGCTTTCGTTTTTGTACGGTCACGTTCCAGAAAACAGGGTCCGCGCATCACAGGTTCTTCCAAGGCACTTGGGTCGGGGGCTTGACTTGCCTCATGGTGACCTGACCCGCTGTGAGGATTTGATGCATCTGCGGCGCTCGCGACCCGCACCCAAGAAGACAGCAGGGATCGGAGTCGGGGCGCTGGATCCACTATGCGAGACATTGGAGTGGGACGCCGAGCGTAGTAACCGAGGAAACTCTCGCAAGCGTGCCCACTCCAGAAGTACCAGGTCGCCCAGCCCCAAGCCAAACCCTCAACCATGAGCCTCAGGCCCTAGACCAAACCCTGAACCCTAAACCTTAAACTGAACCCTAAACCCTACGGCCTAGACCGTTTACGGTGTAGAGCAAGGCGCAAAGAAATAGCCTCGGCATCGCCTTAGTTGAGTCTCTCCGAAGTTCTCGTTACACTAAGCCATTAAGGATAGGGCTTCGGGTTTAGAGTCATCTCCTGTTTTACCATACTATATTTTATTGTATCATAGCATATTTCACTATTATGGGTTTAGGGTTTCGGGTCATTTTATTATGCTATAGTTCTGTTATATGGTACATCATATGATGTTAATTACACTACATCCCAAATCCGTCTTAAAAACCTAAACCTTACCTTTACCTTGGGGATCAGAGCGCATAGTGATTCGGGTTACTAGTAAGGTAAGCGTGGTTGGTTATAACTCTCGGGTTACAAGCAAGTTAACTTTCAACATAAATGTTATAAGTAAGTCGACTGCAGTTAGCATTGCTTATGGCCCTATTAAGGCCGGCATTTGTAAACCCAGCTACTAAGTCCCCTGATTATCTTAATCTCCCTTGCAAGGCCATCGGTTTGGATTTCCTGGGTGTGGACAGTCTCTACCGCACCGCCACAGATGGTCTTCCTCGGCTGGCGATTCGGGAGTGGGACACCATGACAGGCTGGGACTGCTTTCTGTAGTTCGGGCAGTCTAGTGAACCTGAACCTCAAAATCCTAAACCTTAACCTAGTCTAGTGGTTTCTATGGGTTTTCGGTAATGCTTTGTTTGGCTCTTCTGGAGGGAAATAGCAGGGTTTTTGCTCCCGCATTTTATAGCGGAAAGCTTCTAGCCACCTAAAGTGGGGTTCCAAAATCTCTGCTCAGACGGACCTCTGGGCTACAAAATCTGGCGCTGGCTGCTGCTTGCCAAGCCAGAGGTCCGTGCGAATGAGTCGGGAATTTGTTCAGAGGCCTTCTATATCCATTTCCTGCTCGTCCACGCTAGAAAATTGTTTCCAAAAGGCTAGATGTGGAAGGGTGCGCTCAAGCTGCCGGATAGAAGGAACACGAACCGGCAGAAGTAGCTGAGTAGCTAGTAAATGCTACACCGTGTATTGAGGTCGTCCGACGGAAAGGGATCCAGAGATGATGGTGTGAGCTGATCCAAGACCCTAAACCCCAAACCCCAAACCCTGTGTGTTTGTTGCTTTCGCTCTGATATCTCTTGCATGCTGTTCTGAGAGTGAAAAGAGCCGCAGGTCGAGTCTTAACCTTCGCTGGTCGTTGTATTATTTTTCGGCTTGTTGGTGATGGTGGTTGTGGTGGCGGTGGTGGTAGTGCTGCTGCTGCAGCTGCTGGCTCCAAGTAAAGAAAGTGTGTGTGTGTATATATATATATACATAGATATGTATATATATATATGTGTGTATAGTGTCATTTGCTGCACTCATAGATGCGTTGCAAGCTTCAGTATGTGTCAGTATTGGCTTTTCTAGCAGGATTGCTGTTCAAGACCATCCAGCCTGTAAACACCCACAAGGGGACTAGATCACATCACTTCCACCGATGCACGCTAGATGCAAAGCTCCAGAGCCGCTAACCCTAAACCTTATTTGCCCCTAGACATCGTAAGCCAATGCCAGTTTGCATCCTGAGCCAAACAAGACCGGCATGCACGGCCCCATGTTGGCTGCAGATCCTGTTGGACTCCTTGGAGAACCTCTTGGAAGTGTTCGTCACCACGTTTGCGAAGCACGGGGGTCCGCAGCTGGACAGGGAGGCACGGACGAGCTGCTGGATGTTCCGTAGCAGTCGCTCATGTCAGTGGCAACAAAGGTTCTGTTCTGATGACGTATGACTTCTGAGGCCAAGAAACTAGCCCTCTTGACAAGCTCACTTTGGTAGTAGCATCGTTCCAGCAGGTCTCCCAATACAACAGTACAAAATTCCCGCCCAGCCAGTGCCAGTGCTGGGAACGTATGGAGTCCCATAATTCGATGCAGAGAATGCGAAGGGCAATAAGATGACAGCATGATATTCTGCACAAACATACGGGTATTTCTCTAAATTATGGTTTCTTAAGTTTTCTTGAATCCCACAAGTCCGGCGAGCAGCCAAAAATCGAAGCAGACAGCCTCGCTGCTCTTGCAAGGGTTTTAACAGGCTGCAAACAAAAACAAACATCGCGTCAGAGATATGTTCCTATAGTTGGAGGCCAGTCGCAAAACCAAGGTGCACGCACAGTCCTGAAAGTAAGTGTGCATGCGAACAAATATCCCTGCGCCCTGACACCCCCCCAAACCCTAAACCCTAAACTCCCATACCCAAACCCCTAAACCCTAAACCCCTATATCCAAACCCGAAAACCCTACACCCTAAGCCCCTATATCTAAACCCTACTACACCTAAACCGTAAAACCCCAACCCCTCTACCCTAAACCCCTACATTTACTAAAGCTGAACCTCCAAGCCCTGGACTCGTCAGGGCCTTAAGCTCTGAGCCTCAAAACCGAAGCTTCAAGGCCTTCATTTACCTCTAAGCCCTAAACCCCTAAACCCTAAGCCCAAAAACCCCAAGCCCTAAACCCTTAACCCTAAACCCTAAATCCGTAAAGCCTGAATCCCTAAAACCCCAAAACTAAACCCTAAACCATCAAGCGCCAAGCTCCCAGCCCGAAAGCTGGTCATCTTACGCCTCAAACACCCCAAAGCCCTTGAGCACTAAGCCCCGAAGCCCTAAAGCCCTAAACCCATAACGGGTTTAGGGTTTAGGGTTTAGGGTTTAGGGTTTAGGGTTTTGGGTCTCGTTTAAAAGGGATCTACAAGGCTTTCTATGAGGGTTCTATATGGGTAGTTCTCTGCATTAGGGTCCTTTGTCGGGTCTTTTGTAATAGGGCGCCGTACTACCTTGGGAACCGAAAAAGGGACCCTAATTTAGAAAATCAGCCATACAGTAACCCGGATTGAAGAAACCCCATAAGAAACCCCGAGAGTCTTAAACGAACCCCTATACAGGAAGGCTAGAAGCAGCTACCAGTGGTGGTGGTGACACGCTGCGCTGGGCAAGCGGTGCTCTTGGAAGGCTTCCTGCATCGATATATGCAGCACTTTTGTCGGGCATGGTGGGTCAGGCCAGAGGAAGTTTCTTCCAACGAACTCTACCACCTCGTAGCCGAAAAGACTTTGCTGCAACAACTCCAGTACAGGAGTCTGCGGACGGCAGCGCAACTCCAAGCACGACTCGACTGGTTCGAAGCCCTAAACCCTAAACCCTAAGCCCTAAGCCCTAAACCCTAAACTACCCTAAACCCTAAACCCTAAACCGTCGTTTCAAGAAGTCTGGTGGTCAGCTCCCGTCCTTGCCAGAAGACACGTCCGAGAGTCTGGACTTGTAGTTTCTTAGGGGTACTTAGAAATATTTTTTAATCTTTGGCTACTACAAACCCTAAGAAGCAGCTAAAATTATAATTTTTGCTAGGGGTCTAAGTTCAGTATAGTTGTCTGGGGGTTAGATCCCTTGACGTCTCCTAGCCCCTTGAAGCAGTCCTGCTTCCAACACGACTCAGAGCACTTCCGCTCCCAGAAGAACCCAGAGAGCCCAATACCCTTCAATAAAGGAATATACCCATCATAATATTGAGGCCCCTACAACTTAAGGTCTATTCCTAAACCCGAAATCCTTAAACCTTTATAGATCCCTTTAAGGCCCCTACAATTTAAGGTCTATTCCTTATTCAAGGGGTATTGGGTCTCCAGGAAAGGTCTCGCTCCAGTGTTTGGGTTTAGGGCTTAGGGTTTAGGGTTCAGGGTTTAGGGGTTTAGGGCTTAGGGTTTAGGGGTTTAGGGGTTTAGGGTTTAGGGTTCTGCCCAAGCCCCAAGCGTAGCTCTGCTCAGAAGCCCACGGCGTCAGCTAAGGCCCAAAGCGTAAGATAGGGGCCTAAATACTTGCCGATACTATTTTGGGGGCTCCTTATTCTTATTGTAGTGTAATGGGCCCCAAAACCCTATTCTGATGACTAAGGCCCATATATTAGCTTTTCCAGAAGCCCCAAACACAGTTTTGCCCTAAGAAAGCCCTAAAGTTCTAAAGCCACCCTCTCGGTGAGGCTCTCCTTTGGCACGTTCTCCTCGCGGCAGCGCTTCAGTCCGTAGACCTACTGGATGCTGTGCCGCTCCTCTTGGAGCGACTCTGCTTAGGCTTCAGGGTTTAGGGTTTAGGGATGAGCGATTCTGCCAAGGCGGTTTCTTTTTGGCCTGGGTTGTCATGGTTCTGTTATCGTACACGGTTGTATACGGCATGTATAGGATGGTTTCTTGTGTCTTGTTTGCAGAGGGTGGTTGAAGGATCGTAAGTTTGGTCTGCGCATTCTCCGACTGCGTCAGCCGAGTTTACTGGGTCCGATTACGATTCAGAATCCAGAATTTGGCCCTAGTGCGCCCAACAGTGTTTGAAGACCATGGATATTGGATTTGTGTTTGGGCCATGTTATTCACATAGAGTTGCATCATGTTCTACAGATTGTGGTTTATTGATTGCTTGTTGCGTTTGAGGCGTTCAGTAGGCTTGTGTTTGAGCAAATCCTTACTCCAACTGAGATGTCGAATCCCAAGCTTAAGTCGCGATGACTAGTTCAAGTCCCAAGCCACAGACTGCAAAGTGTGCAAAGTCTCCCTCAACAGCCACCGACAAGCAAGGACACAACCCGCGAGTGTAGGCACGACCTAAACCCCCTGTAATTCATGTATGGGTAGTTGTCGAAATTAGGGTCCCTTTTAGGACCCTGTTTATAAGGGTGCCGTAATATATTGGGGACCCAAAAAGGGACCGGGACCGGTTTAGAGAACTACCCGTATGCACTCTGCCAAAAACCGCATCGAAGTCCCCTCCCCGTCGCGCGCAGGAGAAGATTCCGCGCGAGGGCTGGCAGAGCATAAAGTCCCTGGAAGATCCCAGGCGCCTTGCCACTGCACAATTTCTCTCACTACTCCTGCAACTCCTCCTAGTAGTAGCCGTAGTATCAGTAGCAGCAGCAGGAGCAGCAGGAGTAGTAGTAGTAGTAGTAGTCGTCGTCGTCGTCGTCGTGGCAGCAGTAGTAGTAGTAGTAGTAGTAGTAGTAGTAGGAGGAGGAGGAGGAGGAGTCAGGGTCAGAGTAAGAGTAGGAGTGGCAGCAGCTGCCGAGTTGTAGGGGCAGCACACAGACCTCGAAGCAAACCCTATGCACCGTCTAAGCGCTACACCTCGGACTGCAAATCGCAGAACCCAAACCCCAAAACCCTTCGTGAACATAGGGTTTTGCAGGGCTCCTTTAAAGGGTGCTCTAGGCGTAACTACAAGGGTTGGATTAGACTCCGAACCTAAACCTGACAGGCTTCATGATGGAGATGGCCGAGCAAGCGAGCTCTGGCTTACCGTGAAGGCGTTTGCCACCCGTCTGGTCTGGTGGGTGATGATGCCGACGACTCCACCACCACTACTGCTACGACAACTACGAGGAGGACGACGACGACTACCACCACTACTCTTGCTGCTGCTACTGCTGCTGCTGCTGCTGCTCCTGCTACTACTGCTACTACTACTACTGCTGCTACTACTACTACTACTACTGCTGCTACTGCTGCTACTCTTGCTGCTGCTACTGCTGCTGCTGC